GTCTCCTGAGCCCGGCAACTTCGGCCCCTCCCCGCCCCCACCCGGGCTGCCCTGCGCGCGGCCCTGCCCATGTGCAGCCGGCCGGCCGGGCTCTCCTCCTCGCAGGCGGATGGGTGACCTTTTCCTGGCACCGGCAGACTGCGCGAGGCGGCGGGGCCGGCGATGAAGAAGCAGCAGCAGCAGCATCCCGGCGGCGGCGCGGATCCCTGGCCGCATGGGGCCCCTCTGGGGGGCGCCCCTCCTGGCCCGGGCAGCTGGAAGCGCCGGGTCTCCCAGCTTCCTTTCCTGCGCTTCTCCCTCCGGGACTACGGTTTCTGCATGGCCACCCTGCTGGTGTTCTGCTTGGGCTCCCTCTTCTATCAGCTCAGCGGGGGACCCCCTCGCTTCCTGCTCGACCTGCGGCAGTACTTGGGTAAGGATCGGAGGCCAGCACGGGGGTGGCGCCAGCCGCGCGAAGTTGTGCTGGGGGTGGGGGTGGGGGCCCGGGGGCGCGCCGGGACTTTGGGTGCTCTCCACTGCGCGCCGCCGCCAAGGCTCTCCAGGTGGGACGCCCGGGAGCATGGGCGCAGCGGCCCGGGGCGCCTGCTCCCTCCTGCGTGGCTGCCTGTCTGGGTTGACGGGCCCGGCAGGTACCCCAGGGCGGGGCCCGCATACCTTCCCCCGCCTCCGCCACCGCATCTGGGCGGAGGGCAGGCGTGTTTTGTGGGTGTGTACGAGTGAGTGAGTCCCGGCGGTGTGGGGAGAGGCGAGGGGAAGGCACGACCGGTGCCTGGCATTGTCGTGACCGTAGTCCTATCCTGCCCAGCGCTCCAGGTGGTGCGGGTCGGTTTAGCTCCTCTCCATGGTGGGTTCTGCGAATTCCGCGCGCAAGTTCTTCTCCTGCCGCTGGTCTGGGCGACCCAGGGGCAGTTTTCAGGCTCCGCGCTGTCCCTGAGCTGGCTTGTCCTCTGGCAGCGCCGGCTCACCCCGTGGCCCGCCGCGAGTGGGACCTGGGGAGCGGGCTGTGCCCCGAGGTCCGGGGCTGTCCGACGGGGCGGGCCGGCCAGGCCAGCAGTGCCGCCTGCTTTGACCCTACGATCCTCTGCGCCGCGTGTGTTTCAAGCCTGAACTTTTGTGTGTGGGGGGTTGTGCTTGGTTTATTAGGAGGGAGGCTGGCTTTAAAAAATTTTTTTTATTAGCAGAGGTAAGGAAGGAGTTGTGCAGAGAGAAAAGAGCGGCTCCAGAGAGAGGGCGTGGCCCGCAGCACCCTGTCGGGGCGCTGGAAGCGAGCGGTGCCAGGGCCGGGCCAGCGCACAGCCAGGTCCCCGTTGCGACGCTGGCTCGCGCGCTCTGGCCAAGGAAGGATGCAAATCTCTCGCAAGTCTGTGGCCAGAAGAGGGCTGCGGGGAAGAGGGGAGAGGCAGGTAGGGCTCCCGCTTCTTGCAGACGTGCAAGGTGATAAGCCGGAGCCACCGGCAAACATCCGGCGTCTGCCTGACGCGGGCCGGTGCGCAAAGGGAAACCGCTGAAGGGATGACCCGGGCAGGCTGCAGGCTGCCACACTTGCCCACCAAAGTCCCTGGGTCGCAGGAGTCACGAGTCCGGATAGCACACGGTTTTCGAAGGAAAAAACCACTTCAGCGAAGTGACACGTGTTCGTGCTTTTTGAAATGTAAAAGCAGATACTGTTCTTTCCATGTAGACAATCAGATTTTAAAAGTGACACTTCAGTTTCTGTAGGAACTTTGGGGAACTATGGTTTTGTGAGGTGCTTTAGGGAAAATTAAAGGGAAATATTGCCCAAGTAGATTTCCAAAGTACAATCTTGAGCATCTGGGTTTTTAGAGGATTTGGGGCAATATGCTCATTTATTAAGGAGTCAGATCTCTTCTTCCCTTGAGTTCTGTGCTTTGGAGTCTCAGCATCACAGGCTCTCAGACACCTGCTAGTGCCACAAAGGTGACTATTTTTTACCACCACCAACAATCACTGTCAACTGGCTTTGGGAAGTAACTGCCTTAGAAGCTCAGGGGTCTTTCTCCGTAAAATCTGAAAATGAATTATTTGTACAAGTTCCTTTTAGGCAAAATATGGAGGTCAGTGGTATAGGGAAAATATAGGGGATTGGGAAGGAAGGCATCTGTGTTTAGTGTCCCCAAGAGCACTTTTGGGCAGGGTACCCAACCTTCACAGGCCTCAGGTTTTTTAAGTAAAATTAGGTGCTGGACTAGACTGTCTCACGCCTCCATTGAGCTCCTAAAATGTTGTGGTTCTTATACCCTTCTTGGGGATGGACAAATCTGGGAGGAGGAAGGAACAGAGGCACCATTGAGGGTAAAGTCAAGAAACTTCAATATCTATCACATTAATCTTTTGAAAATTCAAATACATGTGGCATCCAGAATTTAGTGCTTTCATTATATATTTCAAAAAATGAGCCCTGATAAACTTCAGCTCAGTGGTAGAAGGGTGAAACCACAGCATTCACTCAGGGAAGTAGGAAGAACTGAAGGATTGAACGTTGCTCTTCCTATGAACTGGTCATTAAATTTCTGACTAACATATGGGTTGAAATAATGACATCATTGTGAATTGAAAATAGGATGCCCTTGGCCACATTTGGCCCTTGTTGCCTTTTTATATAAATATAATGCTTTTCAGGAAAGGTGGGCTTGTGCTCTTTAAGAGGCTCTAAAATATATCCTTAATAATATAAGGCCAGGGTATCTGCAGAATTAGTTTCTCCTTGTTTCCTTACTGATTTGCTGAAGGACACACAGCAAGTAAGGCCAGACCTGAACCCGAATCTGATTCAGGTGTTCACTGTGTAACACTATGAATGGTTTAAGAGATAAAATGGAAATACTACCAAGATGCAAGTGGGACCCTAAAGACCTGACTGGCAAAAATGGTCATATTTATTCACATAATTTCACTTTCCTTGTCTTGATATTTTTACTAAGTATCTTGAAGGACCAGCAGAAGAGAAATAATCCAAGCAGCTGGTCAGCTCAAACTCCACCTTCCTGTATTAATCTCCACCATGCTGCCTCCAGGTACCAGGGAACTCGACACCCCAGAGCCACACACCTGGAGGTGATGTGAATTGGAATCAAAATTCTTGGTCTTTCTCTCTTTCTTTAGCAATTGTTCTTTGTCTAGGCCCGCGGTTCTCAATGTGTGGTCCCTGGGCCTGCAGCATCAGCATTACCTGGGAGCTTGTTGCAAATGCACATTCTCAGGTCTCATCCCAGGCCTAGGGAATGAAAGAGCCTGGGTGTGGGACCCAGCAATCTGTGTTTTAGCAAATCTTCCAGGTGATTCTGATGCCAGCTCAGGTTCAAGAACCGTTGCTTTAAAGTATTGCTTCCAAGAAGCTTCCTGTGTATTTGAGAGAAAGAGAGGAGATAAAAGAGAGAAGAGATTTATAAATTATTTTAAAGGTGATGCACGTGGTTTTATTTTAAAAGAATTTTAAATGCATTTTATAAATGCATCTGCTTTGCTGCTTAAGCCCCATTGTTTCAAAGAAAGGACTAGCTAACAGCTGCAGCCCCAGCTGGCTTTAGACTTTCTGAAGTTGGGGTGAAGCAGGGCAACCAGAAAGTGCAGTGTGAGGAAGGGAGGGAGAGGGGTCGATAATGATGCTTTCTCTTCCTGCAGGAGCCAGGGTCAGACAGTCCCTCCTTTCTAGTCAGTTTGGGAAAGGCAAAGTCTGTTCTCCTTAAAGACACTTTCTGCTGCAACAAATTGGCAAATGGAAAGTAAGGGGGGGGAGGACAATTATGCAGGGATAGCTGTTGTCCTGACTTCTTCCTCCTTGAAATGGGTGGAGAGAGGACCCAACCGATCACCGTGGTAAATGGATAAATATAGCCAATCGCTAAGCTTGGAAACCATAGTCTTTTCAATTCAGTGGAATCATTTCACTTTTTTTTTGAAGCAGCATTCAGACTGACTTGCTATGGAAAACAAGCAGAAAATAAAATCTCCCCCAGAAATTAGGTTATGTTGTAGCCTCTGCCAGTAGTAGCCTCATTCCTTATGAGCTGTGGAAATATCAAAACCTTGGAATAATATTCCTTACACTGATGTAAACGGAATGAGCCAGATGGCTTAGTACTGATCTTATACAACCAGCAAACTCTAATGATTTACCACCAAGCCTTGGATATGTGATTTAGCCTTTATGGGAATTAAATTTGTTGGATTGATCTCAAGTTCATGTGCTTTCCTTTCCATTTTTAATTTATACCACTTTAAATGGAGGCATGCTACTTTAGTTTTCAGAATTGCCAATCTTTATATACGTATATTCAAAATGAGCATGACAATTTTGAGTCCAAAAAATGAGAGAGAAAAAGATGCAGCTATCGAATTTAAAATTCTCTATGTTTAAATGAATTTAAAGGAAAATACGAAAACAGACATCCAGACCTTAACAAAATAGTTTCTCTGAAGCTTAAAAGCCAAATTTGGTTTTTCTTCTGTATATCACGTATGATTTAAACATAGTGCACCAGGCCCCCGACAGCAATCTAGGAAATGAATGCATAAAATATGATGTTATCAATAGAAATTGTTGACATAAAAAGAAAATGACACTCTTGTTCATAGCTGCAAATTTATCTTATAGGGTTGGTTGGGGACACAGTAGCACTGTATTAGAGGAAGACAGAAAATGGCATTCGACTGTGGCAGTCTGTTCCACAAACACACAGAATGAATGGTGAAAAGCATTCTGCCTGGTAAACTATTTTTAATGTAGACTAGCCTCAGTATGAATTGTTTAAAAATACATATAAATATGTATTATCTGGATGCTGTCTTTCTCCAAATTCCCTGTCACCAAGCCAGGTTCAAAACACTAGCCGGTTTTGTATTTGAGAAACTGCAATAAAGGCGCTCAAGTTTTTTGAGTCCCAAGAGAAATAGTATCTTTTGCTTCCCCAAAGGGAAGCTGCAGGACAGGAACAGTAGCTTGCGTGGCAGCAATACTCAAGGGAACAGGAAGGCATCTTGTTTGATGGATTATAGCCACTAAAATTATTAGGAGTTATAACTTACATTTTTTTTTTTTTTTTGGAATGAAGTAAGATTTGACTACAAATTTTGCCTTACCTATATTTATTTTTATTATAGAAACTCAACTTTAAGCAAATAGTGATAGACATAAACTCCTTTAGGTATCAGAAACGAGGGCAGAAACACTAATATTTCACCAGAAATTATTCTTTGCAGAAGTCAAGAGTGTGCGAGAAAATTCCAAATGAAGCACATTTCAGTATATGCTATTAATGTTCAAGCAGCTTGAGATATAATTCACAGAGCGCACAATTGACCCATTTAAAGTTTCAACAGCGTAATAGTTTTCAATAGTTGTTTTCGGTAAACTCACAGATAAGTGCAGCTATAGCCAATTTTAGAACATTG